GGGGGGGGGGAGGAAGAGGAGAATTGAACAGTATGAGTACATGATCCTAAGTCATCAGCCGTACAGAAACACAATTAATACAGTAGCAAAACAAAACAAAAAAAAGTGAAACGTCATCCAATGCAGCAAGTCTTTTATTTCAATGACGTGTTCAGAGTATTCACTTTACTTACAAAAACATTTTCCCTTTTTGAAGCTACTGCACAAAATTACCAGACAAGTTTGCCAGTACAAGTCTAAAAAAATTCTATCAAGCGCTCTTTTTGGCTCCAAACTTATTGTTGAGCCCTCTTTGGAAAGAACGATTATTACAATTGCCTTTGTACAACCTGTACATTCACACACCCGCATACAGTACATTTGTTACAAACCTTCAGCAGGGTTGTACGTCACTGATATTTGGGTGTGGAAAGAGCTGCTATTGCTCAGTGTGAACAGTCTGATTCTACACTACCGAGTCTTAAAAGTCACATTACTGATATCAAAAGGCAAACAAACTTCCCACCAAAGCTGTGTGGGCATGATAAAAGGTTCTCACACTGGAATGTTTGACTTTCTTCTTGAGAAAACATCCTAAGTTTTGTATCCACTGTAAACACAAATGCATTATCATTTAAAAGCTGAGACCATTTAAGCAACTGAATGCTACTGAACATCAGAAAGTCAAATGCAGATTGCAATCCATGATCTAGGAAGAACTCCATCCTAAAATAAATACTTATAAATAATACAAAATATATTAGTTTGAAATATCTTGGGTGTTTTTGCATGCCTCAGCATATCTGTGAATGCACGACTGTCAGAAGGTTTTGTACTGTACACATGAGCAGATGAATCCTAAACCATTAGCATCAGAGAGAGAAATAAATCTCACAAGTTGACATTTAACATGCTTAAAAACATCACAATCCTCCAAACATAAAAATGAAAATATAATCTACAAGAACATGAGAGACTATCTGGAAGTTGATGGAGGTGGCAGGTCTGTGGTGTACCAGCGATCACAATGAATCACATGCCTTTCTAGTGAGTGCATGTTACGCATTATATGTGGTGGATGAAAGCTAATACAGCGAGAAGGGGCCATGGGCTCAGCCTGTGAAACCTTTAGCCACGTCTGGTAGTGAAACTGTAGGACAGGTGGGGTTTAAATTCAGACAACAGTTCATACAAATAACCACCCAGTCAACCAGCACTGGCTAAAAACATGCACCTCTCCCGAAAGCACAGGTAGAAATTCACTTTCCTGTACGACTCTGATTGAATAACATATATATGAGATATATATATATCATATATGCATTTAAAATGCACATCTATGGACTTATAAACATTTATTCACTCTTCATGTGATGACAAACACCTCTTATCAGTTTATTTTAGAATGTCTTTAAAAATATAAAGTTAAAAAAAAAACTCGTCCTACTGGAGCCCAGTTGGACAAACCATGCAGTGCTCTCCTAACATACATAAAGCAAATAAATAAATAAATCTGGGAAGTGGCACATCCTATAAAGCTACTTGACTAGTAAACCGATATGCATGATGTTGGCTTTCATGCCTAAAATTAGAAGAAACACAAGCTTTCAAATGACCCTGTTTTGGATTTTCCATCTTGGACCGTAATAATCTGTAGAAACTCAATCACCACAGTGGGAAGGAGCAGTAACTTCACATGCTCACAACCACACCCAGCCAACTCAAAAACATTACAAAAACAACAGGATCCTTCGATGGGATGATTTCAGCCTTGGATGGCCTTGTATAATTCTACAGATACAGTAGTGTGTGTGTGTGTGTGTATGTGTGTGTATAGTACAGTAGGTATAAAAGAAAGACAACTTGAGACTGTACCTCTGCTGAATGTTCTTCACCCCTCTGACTAAACTTGCACCATCACATATTTTCTGTTATGCTAAATGAATATAGCATTAAGATGCTATTTGTGAAAACACCACACTCAGGGAAAGCCGATTCATACGAGCAGCACTCATGGTGCAGTGAGAGGGGTGGAGAATCTAAGAGCCAGGCTGTGTTGTCTGTGTAACGGCAGTTTTTGTGTGGAATTTATTTATGCGTGCACTAAGGAAGAAAAAAGTGAGAATCTGTTCTTAGATTTCAGACCTGTGTTTGTGTGTGTGGAGCCATGTTTAGCAAGCACAATCCTGATGGGATTTCTGTGGCTGCTCGTTGAGCTGTGGCCCCTGTTTAGCTCCAGTGACAGTTGGGTCGTTGTTGTCCAGACTCTCTGCCATCCTCTCACAGATGATGTCCACCAGCCGCTCGAATGTCTGCTTCACATTAATGTTGTCTTTAGCGCTCGCTTCAAAGTACTCGAAACCTGCCGGGATGGGTGATAAAGGCAGAGCCAGGCTACGGTTACACTTACTGTCCCACTGTGAAGCTTAACCAGCTAATCCATTCATCTCATCATGTTAAGGCTATGGTCAGAAACACAGCTCAGACCTCATTCATTGTTCCCTCCATATCAGATTAAAGTATTTCTAAATTAAATCTATTTGCAAGTCTTGAAAACAACTCATTCTGTTTTTACTGACCATATTTAAATCTCTAGTGGTTTCCAATTCAGTCCAATTACAATCAAATGACATACATGAGTCAGTCTGACCCCTCAGATCCCCCCACAAGCCACATGTTTTTGATTTGACAAGTTTTAAAAAGGAGAAAAAAATGTCTAAAATATAAAAGCAAATACTTGCACTCTGTGCCTCTGCAAGTTGCCTTACGAGGACTAAAATAAGTCTTTTCTTAAAACTGACACATACTGCTAGTTCAGACTCAAGTTAGGATGGTTTGTTTGCACTGCTGCTTTTTAGTTGTGATGCTGTAAAGTAGAGTAAGTGCATCAGTTTCAAAGTGTGAAATTATGTCACATGGAAAGCTGATGACCTGTGTAATTCTTCTGGGGAGACCGTTACAGTCTTGAAACCATGACCAGACCTCCACCATGTTTCACTGAAGGCTGCTACACTCATTCTCCCTCCTCTCTCCAACTCTTCTTCTCACATACTGTCAACGACTGGACCTGAACATTTCAAACTTCCATTCATCGCTCCATAAGACTCCACTGATCTTCACTCCAATCTTTGCCAGCTTTTGTGTATCTCAGCCTTTTCTCCCTGTCCCCTTTCTGTGTCCAAGTGGTTTCTTGGCTGCTGTTCTTCCACAAAGGCCGCTCCTGATCGAGCTTCTTCGGCCTGTGGAAGGATAAACATTGAAAACAACTCATTCTGTTTTTACTGACCATATTTAAATCTCTAGTGGTTTCCAATTCAGTCTAATTACAATCAAATGACATACATGAGTCAGTCTGACCCCTCAGATCCCCCCACAAGCCACATGTTTTTGATTTGACAAGTTTTAAAAAGGAGAAAAAAATGTCTAAAATATAAAAGCAAATACTTGCACTCTGTGCCTCTACAAGTTGCCTTACGAGGACTAAAATAAGTCTTTTCTTAAAACTGACACATACTGCTAGTTCAGACTCGAGTTAGGATGGTTTGTTTGCACTGCTGCTTTTTAGTTGTGATGCTGTAAAGTAGAGTAAGTGCATCAGTTTCAAAGTGTGAAATTATGTCACATGGAAAGCTGATGACCTGTGTAATTCTTCTGGGGAGACCGTTAAAGTCTTGAAACCATGACAGTCCCTCCACCATGTTTCACTGAAGGCTGCTACACTCATTCTCCCTCCTCTCTCCAACTCTTCTTCTCACATACTGTCAACGACTGGACCTGAACATTTCAAACTTCCATTCATCGCTCCATAAGACTCCACTGATCTTCACTCCAATCTTTGCCAGCTTTTGTGTATCTCAGCCTTTTCTCCCTGTCCCCTTTCTGTGTCCAAGTGGTTTCTTGGCTGCTGTTCTTCCACAAAGGGCGCTCCTGATCGAGCTTCTTCGGCCTGTGGAAGGATAAACATGGCGTCCAGATGAAGCTGCCAGATGCTGAGTCAGCTCTTTGCTGGACTTCCTCCGGCCTCTCGAAGAATAAACTCTGAGAAACCTCTCATCAGATTCAGACAGTGTTCTGGGTCTTCCACTCCTGGTTTTGTCCCTGACCTCTCTGGATTCTTCGTATTTCTTTAGAACAGCTTAAATACCACATCTTGAGTGTCCAGTTTGTTTGCCAATTTATTTTTCTAGCATTTTTTTTTAATACTTTTTACATATTTCCTAAATTTTCCAGTTGTATTCTGATAAATATAGTCATCATAACATTGCTAAAACAACAAATCTAATGGTGGCCTAAGACCTTTGCACAGTACTGTAATTTAGCCTGTCATCTGTCCCCCTCCTTGAAGAACAGAGCTGTAGGGCATAATTATCTTTACTTTTCGCTAATCCTCTCAGCAGAGGAAGATCATCACCAGGAGTGGAACAATAAAAGAGACATGGTTTCCAGTTTTCATTCTGACCACTTGACTTACCCAGCTGTTCTGACCCCTCTCTGTGGCTACCACTCGTTCATCCTCCATATCACATTTGTTCCCCACCAAGAGGACCTGAGCGTTGTCCCATGAGTACGTCTTGATCTGGGTCGACCTGTTAGCAGACACAGCGTGGGGCCGTCAGCTATAATGAGTTAATTTCTTGCTGAAGCAGCTGTTCACAAAGTACAGTAATCCAACAGAACTCACTCATGTGCTTCATCTGCATTTTGCCAATGCGCAATGAAAATCATTTTAAAAATTATTTATTTTTTACAACCATTACTGATGCTTATATTTGCATTTTATTTCAATTCAGTTCAGTCTGATTTGGATAGCACCAAATCACAACAACAACCATCTCAGGGCACTGTACCTAGTAAGGTACCTATACCTTACAGTATTATAGAGAAAACACCAACAAATCCCCCTTGAGCAAGCACTTGGTGGTGATAATAACAATGCTGATACCTTCACAAGCGCTAACAAGCGCCCAAACAAGTTTCAAACAAGTTTTTCACAGTTTCTTTTGGACTCGTCTAACTACTCCTGCAGTTCAACTGTGACCCCCGATCTCAGAAATTCAGCCTGCGGGTAAAGTATGGTCCCAAACAACAGGAAAGCAAATGGAAATGACTAAATAAGATCACAGGTCATTAAGTTGCCACCTTCATGCACGCACACGTGCATAATGGGTTGTCCCTCACCAGTCTTGCACAGCAATGAAGGACTCCTCGTTGGTGATGTCATACATGAGGATGAAGCCCATGGCTCCCCTGTAGTAGGCTGTGGTGATCGTCCTGTAGCGCTCCTGGCCGGCGGTGTCCTTGAGAAATACACCAATGTTTTTACTTGAGTGTAATTTTTGAGTATATACAGTATTATTGTCAGACCAGGATAAGTTTTACATTCATATAAATACACAAACCCACCCTGCTATTTCAAGGACACGGATACAACAATGTTCTGACCCTGGAACAGTCTTTCAAACTTTCTTAAAGAACCTGTAACAAGACAGCAGCTGGCGGGATTTTTTAAAAACCTTTTTTTTTAATTTCCAGACAGTTGTCACACGGCACCTGCAAACAATTTATGGCTGTGCATGTGCCTCCTGATGATTGTCTAGGTTTAACATTCAGCCAAACTCCCATGAGCATTAGGTATTCCTCTGGTGTCACCAGGGTTAGGCTTTATGGCTTATGTTAAGTACACTTCAAGGGTATTGCCATTACACAGCAGATGAAGTGACTCTGGGAACTGGAAAGGCCGGTTCAACAGCTGGTAATTATTAGAAATACATGCTAACAGAGACCGCTCAGGTCACAGACTTGACAGTGCAGCATAAAAAAACATGCATTTTTTAGCAAAGACAACCTGCAGGCAGTAACAAAATGAGCCTTTACTCTCAATGAATAATGAAGCGCTGAAAATACAGGGTAGGCCACCTCCAATACCGGTGCCACGCTCTCGAGTACATGGGCTACTTTTCCGTGGCCCACGCTGTATTAGTCAATTAATTGATTAGTCAACTATCTTGATAATTTATTGGCTGATTTTCAAGGGTATTTTCAAGCCATTTTCCCCATCGACTGTAAAAATTATGGACAAGCTAAAAGCTCCCAGAAATGAAGACACCAAAGCTTGGTCGCCCCCTGGTGGCTGGTTGCACTATAGGTGTTAAACAGCAGACGGGACATGAGCCAAACTAAAACCTCAAAGTACAAATCAAATACATTTTTCCCCAGAGGTCACTTCTGTGGTTTCTTTGGTAGATATTGTCACACTGATGTGTGTACAAGTGTTTTAATAAGTTATCTGATAGTATAAAAAGAGGTGTATTTTGGTTGATGTGACAGCTTTGATTGGTGGTCCGATGCAGTCGCTCCATTTCTGGTTGCTACTGCACAGAATTTGGTTGTAAAAAAGCAAGATGGCAGCTGCTATAGTCATTATATTTTGGCTTCATTTTTGCACAGTGGAGAGAAGTGGTGATGCCATGTCCATTATATATACAGTCAGTTCAAAAGACATTTGAAGAAATTACTTTAGACTATGGCAAACTGGATTGCACATTTTACAGACTAAAGGATTATCTGAGAAAATAATAAACAGATTGTCAGTGAAAAAAATCATCATTTGCAACCTTAAATATTATATCAGGGATGCCACTACTGTTGAATTTTGGTATATTGTTCATGGAGATGAATAGACTGTTTAAATCCTGTACAGGCATTTCTGCCACAACATTTCTAATTAAAGACACCATTAAAAGGATAAGACTGGTCATTTCTAGATTAACAGTACTTTCAGCAATCTCCATACAGAGACTAAAACTGACAATGAATTGGCTCTGTCAGCGAGTCAGTCCAAGTTTAGCTTGTTCTTCTGTGACAGACAACCAGTGTTGTTCAAAAACTATTAAAAACACATCAGGGAAACACACCACTGCACCAGGTGACATTTTTCGTAAGAAAAACACCAGGCCCGACTATGTCGCCCCAAAGTCTCCATGAGGCCATCATTTCCTTAAGTTGGTGTGAGTTAGAGTCAGCTGCACAGGCACAAGATTCTGTGTGAGCTCTCAGCTTTGTTTACATTTTGGTAGCTCCTCATGCTCAGGTCTGGGGTTTGCCAATGAAGAAATATGTCACCCAGTGCAGTGTTTCACTGATGTTTTTAATCCTTTCTGAACAACATCAGAGGTCTATGACACATAAGAAAATCACTGCTGGGTTTATTCTCTGTATGGGGAATGTTGAAAATACTACTAATGCATTAAATGACAGGCCTTATTCTTTAAAAAAAAAGCAGCACTGTTGTCATATAGTACTGTTAGTTACCATAGGCTGAGTGTGCACTGTTGCTGTATTATGGAGAGAAATACAATTATCAAACTGGACTCTGTATCAGTAGATAGAGAAAATACTGATTGTAACATCTGTAGTAATTATGTAACGTAAAATAAATGCATGTCCATAGACCTCTCCACCTGTTGCATCCTTCTTCAACAGTACTGTACCTGACTCTACCATAGTTCAAGACAGAAAGCACAGTGCTCATACAGCAAAGACATTAATTTCTGTTTTCAAATTCTGCAGGAGTTCACAGCAAAGCATCAGCCACAGAAAAGCATGTGTCTTCCCTAAATATTTTTCCACACTTCTCTTATGACCCTCAAAAACCCCTTTGTGTGCTCTGAGAACCACCAAACAATCTATAACTGGACACCTCAGCACTGTGTGTTCACTTCCTCACCCAAATCTGCAGCTTTATCCTCTTATCATTCCTGTAGATGGTTTTGACCTTGAAGTCGATGCCCACCGTGCTGACAAAGGCTGGCGTGAATGAGTCATCTGCATAGCGGAAAAGAAAGGAAGTTTTTCCTACGCTGCTGTTGCCGATGATAAGGATTTTAAACATGTAATCAAAGTTCTGGTCCGAGGACTCCTTCTGTCCATATGTGGCATTTGCAGACGCCATCTATACAAGGACAGAAATTGCACAGTAATCGGTTACAAAGCAGATGTTTCAGAAAACAATACATTATTATTTACACATGCTGGACCAAAAAACAAACTTCTTACACAACAACACCACTTCAAACTATAGTTACAAAAATAAAAAGCTGAATCTGGCTCTGACAGCATCTGCAAAAACTAAACATTGTATGAACTTTGCAAAAGGTAGAATTTACTTGCTGAGCTGTTGTATCTGATTCCATCAGACTGTGAATGCGCTCCATGTAGCTACTGTGTCATACACAAGTCCTGATAAAGACACTCTTTATAAATTTGTTTGCATAATTTTGTATGAATCCATTTTAAATGCCTGAAAGGCTGTAAACATAAAAAAAAACATTTATTTACAAACTGCATTCAACAGACACAGACTCCATTGAGAAGAAAACTGCTGACAGAGAAAAGATCAAATCTTTGATATCAGCTAGACACGCTCTCTGAAGCTGTTTTTTTGACTGACACAGCAGATTCAGGTTTGATTTGAGTGAGCTTTACAGTGAAGTCAACACCTCTGAACCTCAGAATGCAACAACACATCATCAGCTGGGTAAAACCAGCCTGTCTTATGATGGTCTAAACCCAGCACACGTTCCCCATTAGTGAGTCAATAGTCCAATACTTCATAACATCTGCTTCACAATAATATGAAAAGTTGACATCGAAGGATCAAAAGCAACATCTCTATGAAACACATAGCCAATGCAAAAAAATTTGGAATTGTGTCAAAGGTTGTCAGGTGGAAAAGAAAAGCCTGAACAGTAAAATAATAATAAAAAACCTGAGTGGTTTTAATTATGCACTGAAGAACAAATGGGAGCCTTTTCACTTTTTTCAGGACAGAGTATGTATCAAGAGGGCTTGGCAGCTGCTAAATATTTCAAATATCAAATCTATTTAATTGTGTGACTATTTCTAGTTGGTTTGGCTTGTTTCAAACTCATGTGTCATCTGTGAAACACATCATGACAGGCAATATTAACTAATGCACCGAAACCCTGGCACAGATCAAACCATGAGAATTCATATGGCATATGAGTAAAACAGCCTTACAGACCCTTTAACTCGTGATGGGTTTAACTAATGTCATATGGTCTGTTCTGTATAAAGTCAGATTACACTCCATATGGTTCGCAGCAGTCTCACTGACATACTGTAGCTTTTATCTGCGCACAAACGGTTGCAGCCGTTTCGCCAAGAGGCTGTGTCAATACAACCAGCCAATACTCATTTACAGCCGTGAGTGTTTCCACTTAATGTCAATACCCCTGGTTGGACAAGAATGCTCCGCACAGCCCGGTGCAAAATAAGGGGACGGAAGCACCAGGTCTTAGCAGGCTAAGAGTCAGCTAAACCCACTGTCATTTCCCATTCAAAGAGGGGAGGAACCTATGCGGAGCGCTAGGGCTAGCCTGTATTATGAATAATCATACTGTGGACCAGAATTTGTCTTATAGGCCAAGGTAAATTAGAGAAAAAGAAGACGCCCATAGTGCCCTGTGACTGTTTAGAGCACAATATGATGCCAGTTTAAATGGACTGACCTAAGACACATAATCCACAGTGGAGCTTATCCAGAGTTATTTAGCTAGGTTAGTAGTAAATACACTAAGCTAGTTGCCTAAAACTGACAGTCTGCTTCACGATAGCTGAAGAAAATCCCATGAAATGCAGTACAAGGCGGTCTACTACACAGTACTACATGCCGAAAGTAAAGATCAAATGACTGTTAAAGGGATGGAAGCAAAGCAGAAAAAGACGTAGTTTTACCCTTTAAAAGGGATGAGAATAGCTAGGCGAGCATCTCTGCCTACAGTGCTAACGTAACGTTCCGTTACCAGTATCTATTAGTGGCAGCAGGAGCTAGCTAAGCATCTCAGCTATGTCAAATGAAGGTTACGCCTCCTTATTTACGGTTAAATTTTCTAACTAAATCCCATATACCATAGGCGACTAATTACCTATATGTCATCTCTTGCTACTGTTAGACTTAACACAACCGGACAATGACAAAAAACACAATGTTTACCTTGAAATTTGTAATTTTTTCCCTACGGCGTCGCTGCAGCAGCTAGCCCAATGTCCAGCTTTGCACCTGCAGTAGCACTTGCGCTTCTTGAGACAAACTCGGCCTAAGGGCTTACGGAGCATAAAGATGATTGACAGCACGACTGGCCAATCAGAGAAGAGAAGATACTCATTCCCACGGACTGAACCCCGCCCCCAACCATTTTATGAAAATGTCAGGTTTACTAACGATTATTGATAATAAATAACCAATTATCTCCTTAACATTGTGTTTTGTTGCTTGGCTTTTCTTCCTCATAGTTTGAAATTACATAGATCATACTACTGCATAGAAAAAATTTAGAGTGGGCACCTTATTACTGCCACAAACTGAGCTTGCACATTTGATAAAGGAGACCAAATATGGAAAGGATAATAAACGATAGTTTATTATATTAAATAAAGACTTATTTCATATTTTATACAGTATGTTATATGGGCTATGCATGGTCTGCTATGGAAAAAATATTTTTCCAAATATTCACAGACAAAGAATGTGCAGCATGTTACCCTATATCATGACATTGCTGTTTTGGATAAGTTAGACTCCTGAGAATTCTAACTCTTGTGAACAAACTAAAAAGCAAAATATAAATATTTCAAGATTAGGAAAAGTCATTTAGTATTAAAACAATACAACAATGTCAAATATGTATTTTAAGTTGTTAAAAAGGCCCCAGTGATTTCAGGTCTGTAAACAGATCACTCACTTTGACATCAGTGGCAAAGTATTGAGACCATTTACTTAAGTAAAAGTAGTACCAATGTAAAAAGACTCTATTATTAGTAATCTTTCAGCATTGACAAAGTTGCATAGGTATCATTGGCAAAACTTGTAAAAAAAAAAAAGGCAAAAAACATTGGGCCCTATATGGGCAACCCACTGTGGGCCACAGTACAGGTGTGAAATCTGGGACACATGTTGGGCCATGGTAGGCCAGCCTAAAGTGTGGGCTCATTACAGGCTGCCCACACTGGGCATAATGGGACCCCGTCGGGGCCCTGAAAGATTTTAAGCTTCATAAACGAAGATGTTAAGGCAAAAGTGTTGCATTGAAATGCATACAATTGTACAGGTGTACCTAATAAAATGGCTGGTGAGTGTATACAGGTAGCCCACTGTGAGTATACTGTATACTGCAGTGTCATGGGTACACTGGACACACTATGGGCATAGCATGGGCATCCAGTGCCGGCTTTTGTGGGCAGCCCACCGTTTATCTTGCCCACAGAAATCCACACGGGGGCCCCTATAGGTCGGCCCATGGGGGGCCCATAGCAGTATTACCCTCTGGGGGCCCCATGTGGGTTTTCTGTTGGCAACCAATTGTGGGTTTGCCAATAGAAAACCCACATGTGAGCCCAAAGAGGCAGAACTGCTGTGGCCACCACATGGCTAACCCACAGGGGCCCTATGTGGGATTAATGTGAGTTTACCCATATCCACATTGCTCACAATAAAGCCGAACTTTCCCACAGTGGGCTCACATGGGCATGTTTGCTGGGGTGTATTGGCTTTTATTACAGTTGGTAAATACACACCTATCATTTTATTCAGTGTGGTAAGTTGGATCCGAGCGGCCAGGAATGTAGGAGACAGACTTGAAAAATACATCAGGTTTCTCAAATCAAAAATTTATTTTAAACAAGTGCCAGCAAAACAAAATCACCAAACAAAAAAAATGGTTAACTTCACGTAACTGAAGAAAACTCAACTCAAAATAACTCAACACAACTTACAGGCACGTGCACACAGCTACACTTAGACTGCCACACTCCAGCTGCTCCACCTCAGCTGATTAAATAGCCCCTGGTATCAATCAACCCTGTGACATCCTTGATGACATCAGAGAGCGTAAAAGAATGAGGAAGTGATTAACCACCTCCTCCTTTATCTTATATCCACATAATAAATTCAATCAAACATTTAATACACAGGTTAAGACATTAAGAAATAAACATCATTTATCTTAGGGACAAGTGGAGTGACCTCACCCACTTTGTCACATCCAGTTGCTTCACTCTTCTTGGTGTTTGGCTAAAAAGAAATTGTCAGTCAGACAGACCTGACGAAGCCTCTTGGATGAGAGGTGAAACATCTTCTACCTATAACCAAGTCCGGTTGATTTTTTTCCTACATTTTTTTCAGCAAAAGAAATTGTACTAATTGCAAATTGTATATGCTCGTCTAACCACAGGATTATTTGACTTTACTAATTTTATTGAGGCTTTATTATTTTGTATTGACATAAAAGAAGACAACAAGACATCAAGAAGTGAAAAGTGTTTTCTTTATTGGCAACAGTTCTAGTTGGAGAGAGGGCTAACACACCTGCAGTTAAACAGCAGAGTTTGGATTGTCAGAGCTGCAGAGGCTCAGTTCATGACCCATATTTATAAAGTCTCTAAGAAAAGAAATGCTGATCTAGGATGACTGTTGAGGTCATATGACTACACTTTCACTATGAATCAAAAAAGCCTCAGATCAGCATCCTTATTGTAAGATCCTACATGAATATGTGATCTGGGAAATCAGTGGAAACAGAGGAAGACAGGAAAGGAGAGATTCTAAAGAAAATCTAGACTGAAATCTGCCTCTTTTTATACCAAAATAAACACAAAAGTGAGTAGTTTTGCTTATGCACAATGTTATTTGCATGCAAAAAGTAATGAAATCAGAAGGAAAACAAGCAGAGTCATAGTTGTAATCTTTCCTGTTCGACGTTATCACACATGTTAATAGCTACATGTTAATACTAAAACTCAGCCTCAGGTAATACAGAAATAATAAATAAACTATACATGAAGCACTATGAGAAAAATGTACAAAACAATTAGTGACATGCAGGGAGACAGGCTTTGCATGTTGTGCTGGTTAAGCTGTTGTTACATAGTCCTTAGTCTTGAAGGCATCCTTGAGTGTTGGTCTGTTTGGTGTTGTATATGGCTACAGTGAGGATTGCACATGTTTTACTATAATACGTCACAACTATGACCAGAAAAAAAAACAACCCAAATTTGAAAATAAGGTGTAAAAAAAGCGTTCAGTTCACTCACATATTAAAACATTTACTCTGTTTTATGACAATACAATTAAACAACTTTCTCCACAGGATAAGTTTTGTAAGTCCTCTATACTCTCTTCATAATCTGTAAAACCTGCAATCAGTCATGCATTTCAGTACAATACAGCCAATTATAAAAAAAAGCAGCAAAACAAACAAAAAAAAACATCATCTAATCTTTGAGAGCTGTAGTGGTCCAGCCCGTGCAATTCAACTTATTCACCATGTGCCAACAGAAAAACAGTGAAACTGTCACATTATACATGTTCACTTGTACTGGAAGTGCAGAACTGTAGAAGTACCATACAAAGTGCTTTGGTTTATTTTTTTCTTAGTAAATACATCAAAAAAAGTCAACTCAGTCATTCACTCACAAAAAAGCACTTCAGTGCTTTTAAGACAGTATCAGTTCAGTTACTTTTGAACAGAAGTTACAAAAAAGAAACAGAGACGTTAGGGTCCGACTGGAACACAGAGCGCTACAATCAACTTTATCAGTCACCGATGGAAAGTAGCCAGTAGCAAAATGGAAATTACAGTACGGGTTGTGTCATGCTTGCTTGGCACTTGTTTTATCATCGCCTACGTCCCTGTGAAGAGCGAAAAATTGATCAGTGAAAAATAATTGAAAATATGAAAATAATTCTGGCACAGGAAATGGTCTCTTTACAGTTAGAGTTTTATATAAGTGGATGCTACCAGAATCTGTATTTAGGCTGGTGTATGCAGTGTTTGACATTAAGCAGTGATGTTTATGGATTTGAATGTAAATTGTAATGCATTTGCAGCTGTACTGTTGTTGTTAGGTTTTGCATGATGTTTGTGCTGATTGCTTGATAGCAATGACAAACAGTCTCTCAGTCAATTATCTCCAGTGTGTTCATGTTTTGGCTCAAGCCCTTTAAAGCCACAGTGAGAGCTAGCTATTGAGAAACACTATAAAGTGCAAAACATGATGGCAAAATAATAAAATGGGTGCCAAATAACAAGAATAAAAGTAACCAAAAATAAAACAAACAACTGATATTTTGGGTAGTCCTACAGTTAAATGTGTTTTGAATATATTTTCCATATGGGCCAAAACCATGCAAATCATGTACCTGCAGTGCCAAAACATCAGTTCCACTTGTCATCACTGGGAGGCACCGCATGCACAGCCAAGTGCAACACAACTTCGCTGTGCCTGGCTCAGTTCAGCTGCTGACAAAATCTCTCTTTAGGATTGTAAAAATAGGAAGAGTACATTGAAACATCTTTAAAATAATATGTACTACCAGCTCATTATAATAATATTCCTATCAACTGAACACAATTCACTGGGCTGGGCAATGTATACAGTAATGATAGTCACGCTTAATGTTTTGCTACATTTAAAGTTTCCTGCATAAAATCATGCATAGCTCCTTTCAGCCATTACTTCACTTACACTGCTTTAAAGTCTGCTATTTACTGCATCTTCATTTACTGTGTGTGGACTTAAATAAAACACAACAGAATTCACAAAAAGTAAAAACGCAAGCAAAACAGTCCCTGTAAATTGCAAGTTTGGCAAGATGTCTTACAAGACTGTTTCAAGAGCCATTCATCACTTCCTCACTTTCTACACAGATATTCCAAAAGAGGAAGAGAGTTCTGTCATGAGCTGTAGAAGGGCTTGGGCTGGCTGTTAAACAGGGAAGTTTTTGAAACTCTTCATTGCCTTTGTAGAACTTTATCCACAGCATGTCTTAGTGAAAGACACAGAGCACAAAGGACTGGTCAGAAACTCAGTTTCCCATCCTCATTTAGTTTGTCTCACTCCAGTGCAAGGGACTGCTGTGTAAAACGGCAGACTTTCTTAAAAGCCCCCGCAGCTGCCCACACTCCCCACTCCCTGACACTTGCTGTCACCCTGTCTGCAGAAACCAGAGGTGGTGGTGTTTGTTTGGAGTGGAAGAAGGGGAGTGACAGGGGACGAGGCACCAAAATCGAGAAAAATAATCAAAAAAGGCCAAAAGAAAAACAACCTTTGACTGGTGCTATGTGCCAATTCTGAAGCGTGGTCCCCCAGAGATGCCTTCTGGGTCTGTTTCTCTGTGTTCTGCCATATCTTTATCAGAGTCTAAAGAAAATGTCCTGCCAGAATCAGAGGTGAACAGTCTGGGGAGCTGGTGAGTTACAGCTGACACCTCATCCAATCCACTGCCAGAATCAGTTCTGGAGACTTCAGGCCCCTTACTGCTTCTGCAGCCCTCCTCTTCCTCAGATGGACTCTCAGTGTCTGACTCTCCTTCCTCTTCCAAAGTCAGCTCAAACTGGAACTTATCGGTGGAAGTGGAGCCACCACCCCCGCCAAGCACTGAAGCTTCTCGTGTAAGGGCTCTCTCTTCATGGGTCTCGGGGTTGGGTGAAGGGCTGTGGGGGATCATGCTCTGGTACCACTCTCTGTTATCCTCCAGTGTGTCCAGAATCTCCTGAGCATCAGGGTGGACCAGGTCAGCCCACGTCTCCCACAGAGGGTGAACAATGTAGTCAATAAATCCAACCTGGAAGACAGAGGCAAAAAGTGGATCTGGACCCTTTTTTGTTTCATTTTCTTTACATGTTTACATATTAATTTAACATTTTTTTAAATGATTTACAGTAGGTTTCTTGATTTCATGAAATGAGCACTGTGGTTTCTATGCTGTACCTGGTTCTTTTCTATGGAAGCGTTGTGTTTGTCACACATGGGGCTGATCTCCATGCCCTTGTCCCTTTCCCTGTCGCCCTGGGTGAAGAACTCCACCATGATGCGGTCTGTCCACTGTCGGTACAACTCAAGAGGCTTGGTGGGGTTACTCAGGTCTGCACAGTGCACCATGTTCTGTAGAACCTGCGGTGACAAATGAGCGGTGTGTGCAAATCAAATATATTTACATCAGATTCATTGTACTTATTTATTTTCTAAATTTAGTTTTTTTTTTCTTAATGGCAAATTGGTTTTCACCTGAATGCGGTCCGAATAGTTGTCCAGCAGAAGAACTCCTAGACTGGTGACTTTCTTAGTCTCCACCATGGTTTTCAGGTCTGCTAATAGGTTCATGTGTTTAGACATATCTGTGGCCAGCACCTGCAAAAACAACAATCAAATAAAATCTATTAGAATTCACTGTTTGAACACACAGAAAAGAAAACTGGTGAACTTCAGTATAAACAGTACTGCGTCTTAAGAGTTGTACCAATGTTGTCTCACCATGTCGATGGCCATTTTGCGCAGCGACTGTCTCTGTTTTTTGCTGAGGTTCTTAAAGATGTCACAGTTGTCGTCCTGCAGAAGCTTAAAGCCTACAGCCAGGTGGTGATTCTCCAGCACAGATGAGTCATTATACATTAAGGCCAGCTCTGAGTCTTAACATAAAAGGGCACAACTAGGTTTACAGACAGCACTGTAAACCACCCAGATGTCAAACAGATCTAGTTCTATGGACAGTGTTGTAGACGAGTCCTCAGTGTTCAAGTCTGAGTTGAGTCTAGAATCCTATGTCGAGTTCGAGTTGAGTCCCTGTTGCCCAAGTCACAGCCATCGAGGTCTACATTAAACACAACTAACTCTCACCATTATATATTCCAATACTTATATATATTCCATACTTTCTAGCAGTGTGTTGCAGAGGTCACGCTAGACTTTCTCACTGTCTGTCATTTTGATGAACAGGGTAAAAAAAAATTCCATCATAATTTATTATTACCCCTCAATTTAATTTTCATTTTTAATGATAAAACATATTTAATAGCACTTTTCATTCATTTTCATTTCATTTTTAAAATAATTAATATACGGAACAAGCTTATGTGCAGCCACTTTTCATGTCATTTATGAGAAGTTAGGCTAACTGAATTGAACTTAGCTGACCTGCTGCAGAGGTGATAGTCACTAGGTTTCTCATGGCCATTAAAATTTTGATCTGAAAGCTGAATCTACACTCTGCTGCCGCACTGAAGACTGGACTTGCCCATTTGATGGAAGTGGATACCGCACATGGTGCCAATGAACAGGTTTTAATATCAATATTTTACACCAAATTATTATAAGCTGTTACAAAAACAGGAAAAAAATTGTTCTTTCCAACTTCTGAGTCCAAATGCAGTCAATGCTCATTTCATGTCCAAGTCATCAGTGCTCAAGTCCGAGTCAAGTCATGAGTTCTGAAAATCTGGACTCGAGCTGGACTCCAGTCCGAGTCCTGGACTTGAGTACTACAACACTGCCAATGGAAACCCACAGTTAAATACACTCAGCGCCCATGCATGTAAGCATAATCCCTGTGGGGCTATGCTAACTCACTGGTGTTGATGAGAAACTGATTAGAAACTCCAGGGTGATCCACGTCATGGATGGCACTGGCAAACAGGGCGGCGAGGATCTCCAGATCGGTAAACACAGCCTAACACACACAAGCAGGAAGGGAGAGTCAATATGTGCTCGGCGTGACAGGACATGTACAGATCCTATTGTATTGAATAATGAAATTTGCATCTTTCTCTGTTGCATTAGACTAGCTGACTACCTCTAGTGCAGGTGTGGACAGTAACACATGTGTGGACTGGACCACATCTGCAGCGTGGATGTTGTTGTGGTAAGCCACGTCAGAGTGGTAATGATCCTCCAGTGTCATCATGAAGGTAATAAAAGTGTCCACAGGAATCTTAAAGGACTTTAGAAGGTCACGTTCCTACCAGAGCAGGAAAGAAGGAACACACCACACAGACAGACAGACAGACAAAAACACACGGGGTTATTCAACGTCAATCATTTATTAAAAGTTGGTTTTAATTTACTCTCTTGTTCATTCATTGAGTGCAAACGCTGTTATGGTGTCATCCACTACAAGGACTAACATTGTTTAAGAAAGTAAGTGTTGAGATGTGTTACCTGGAAAATGGTGTACATGGTGACCGTGAGTGGGCGATTTCCAGAATACTCAGCAATTTTAAAGATATCCATGCCCCATCTATTAATGTCCTCCAGGTCCTGTCGGTGAACCGTATGTATCATTGCATCATGTGGTACAAGGGAACACACACAGAACCAGCTGCACTGAAATGGTAATTAAGTGTTGAGCTGGTCCTCGTACCTTGGCTAGGAGTTCTTCCTGACTGGCCTTGACCCCAAAGCGAGGGATGGTCGAGGGTGCGAGGCTGGGGCTGTGGGTGCCCTTCTTCACACCACTGATCTGGGACATGGGCCGCTTCTTCCTGTCCTTCTCCTTGGTGGGGGGAGCCATGATGTCCATGTCATCTTGCTTTTCTGTCACATGGAAGCAAAGTTAATGTGACCACTGCACTCTCTCATTGGTCACATTAAGACAAGACTATACACAGTGGTTTAGGAAAGTGTTCAAACCGCTTAACTCTTTGCACACTGTGTTTATGTAGGAGAGGTGTTTTACCCAGGAAGGTGCTAGAGATGAACTCAGACACCTGGTTCCCTGAACGGCTGGTTTCTGACAGCTGAGTGAGCTCACGGGTCAGCATCCTCTTAAACTGGGGATTCAAACACACACAAACATCCGGGAGCTTGATCACTGCAAATTGCACTAAAAGACAATCGTCAAAAACACTTCTCTCTGCACACTAAGAAAATGATTACACTTCCATTTTATTTTACTTTATGGTTTCAAGACCTTTTATGTGCTGGATATGAACATGTGACATGTAAACAGAGTTGCTGTCTTAAAAGCTGAACGTGATTTTGTGATGCACTCTATGTGGATGGATCTTTTTCTCTCACACCAAATGTATCGAACTGTCAGAGAAGCTCTTTTAAACACAGACAACCATTAGCTGTGGAGCAGAAATTTGTCCACTCCATAACCTACCAAGAATTGTTATATCAGTAAAACCTGGAATCTCTGGAGCACATGTTGTTTTGCACATCCTGCACTGTGCAGGAGCTAATGACTGATAAATGTGTGGCTATCCTTACTCACAAGTAGGCTGCAACCATACAATCCACAAACTTTTAGTGTCAGAAAAAGTCCACTGTCATAGCTCATTCACAAAACCAGCAACATGTGAGCCTGGAACAATCTCATCCCCTCCCGCCCAGTTCATCCCTCACATCTCCTTACCTGAATGAGCATCCATGACACAGAGATGACATAACTCACTTCTGGCATTTCAGCGTAAAGTCAAGCATGGGAGCAAAAATAAAACTTATTGAGAGAGCTTTCTGGGCTTACTACTCATCCTCTGACGCCGCCTGTTGAAAGGAGAAACAGACAGCAGGGACAGTCTGTGCTCCAATACTGTTTGCCTGAGCAAAATTCACTGCAAGCAGACAGTCCGCTAGTTAGTGTGTGAGAGATTTGATCAGTCGGAGCTGAATAGATGAAAAAAAAGCTGTTCAGAGGTCCGTGGAAGAACAAGAGAGTTGAAGCACAGCTGTGGGATGCGAGGATGCATCAGTTCCCCTCACTCTGGGTCATTCACTCAGTTACTGCCTGCTCCATATGTGTGTAAACACTGGGAGAACGAGGTACTCTAATCCCCGCCTCCTTCCAAAAAAAAAAGCCCTAAGAATAGCAGCAAATCAAGCATCTACTGCAGCAAAGGCTGGGAGAGACAGAGGGCCCTCATTGGCTGGTTGGTGCACATAGTAGGCAGGGCAGAGTGTGTCGGGTAGAGGTTGTGAAATGCACCATGTGCACAAGTTTGAAAAAAGATATAAAGGAAAAGCTTTGAATGAGGGGGATTCATTCATGTAACCAAAATAAAAACAGTACACCATATATCACAAAAACTGAATGGCAAAGTACTTTATGGCACATTACAGCCACACATTTTAGTGACAAAGAAATCCAATAATCTAACCATGCTTGGGTAACTCAAGGTTTATTAGTAAAATTACCCAGTAAAATCATAGGCTGCCTAAACTCTCTCACTACAACAGTAACAGGCAGGAAGTCACAGTTTATTCATTCTTACACTAAGGTCCAAATCAGTGGCGGTGCCTGTGAACAGCTTGTGAAAAAAACTCTGAGTGGGGTGTAACGAGCATTTGCTCAGATGAGGTATTCAACCATAAATGTTTCAGTGGAGCATAGAGGTCTCATCCTTCCTCAAAGACACTTTCAGGGGTCATTAGAGATCTACCGTATACAAAACTGTTCAATATGGATATCAGTGATGCAAAAACAGCTTCGGCCCGGGCCTCCCATGTGTCTGCTCTTTTTCCAAGTCTTCACTGACATAAGCTGCTCACTGAGTGATCTGAAACTGTGTGTGTGTGGGTGGAGGTGGGGTTGCATCCTACTAAACTTCAGCCGCTGCCACATGAGCATGTGCAGTGGTATGTGTAGCCAACCAGGCAATGTATGTGATGAAAAGTGAGCCAGTGATTTGAAGTAGTGTGTGTATGTGTTGACAGGGAGAGCATGTGTATGCTGTGTGGATGGTGTATTTGTGGAGTCACACGATGCTGTTTCATCTTCACTCGTGCCGTTTCCTGCATGAGTAGTGAAAGGGTGTGCCTTTGTCTCTGGCCTTTGTTTGCATGCCTGAAAGTATCTCGTTCCCCTCTTCTCTTCACATTGTCGTGATGCTTTCTCTCTATTAGTGAGCTTTCAGATTTGTTCAGGGATCACTGGAGTCTTAATGCACCTACAGTGCATCACACACACAGTCCCCGGACCTAGCACTGTACCTAAAGCCCATTGTAATTTGGGGTAAAACAACCAAAGATTCCCATCCATTAATGAAAAACTGATGAAAATGTTTCTATGTAATGCATCAGGTCTAATGAAAAATGGTTCAATTAAACCCATTTGACTGTTGAATTTTAGCCATTAAGGTTTCATCTGAAGCAGCGGGAGACTCATTCTCAATGAGTTCAGGGTCATCTTCTGTGCCGGAATGGAATTTGACTCTGACTCCCTTAAAAATGGCAAGATTGCACATGACTAATAAAATATTTGACGGAGATAAATCACAGCACAGATTAGAGTTTGTGCACTGCAACCTTGCATTGAAGCCAGCTTAAATGCCAGCTATTAAATGCAAATTTAAACAAGTGTGGCTGTGTGTATTTATTTCTCTTGTAACCTGTGACAGATGTGTGTGTTCACTATATCACTCTGTAGCCCACACTAAAGCATACATGTCAGTGCTATTTATTACATTAAAATACCTTGTTTGAAGCCATTTCGCTGACAGAGTGTCGAGTTTTCAGCGTCTCCAGCTGTTCCAGACACCAGTCCAGCTCATCTAGAGTCTCTATGGCCAACTGCTGGTGAGGCTCTTCTGTGGCAGATAAATATAGGAAGGCATCGTGGGATAAATTCCCCTCTAGGCATTCACATAATGTTCATATTACAAAATGATAATTAATGTGAAACTCAAAAAAATCTACTGTTCTAGTCTTCAATAAATGTTCATTTCATCACTGATGCAATGTAACTACTAAATGACAAATCTGAGGTACCTGCATGTATCTTGAGTATTTCCACTTTATACTTCTAATTCAGTTTATTTCAGAGGGAAATAATATTTACTCCACTACATTTTCTAATGACTAGTTCTTACTATTATCTTATACCTAAAAAAAATTATATATAACATATAATTGTGAACACTAACATGGAGAATTTCTGCACCAAGTACTTTCACTTTTGATACTTTATAATTTATTAATAATACTCTTATTTAAAATTCCAGTTTCTACTTTTAAAGGAGTATTTATAAAGTGTGGTATTTAAACCTATGAACTGAATACTTTCCCCCAACACTGAATTTCATGTATTTGTGAATGAAATTCATTTACTAATTTTTCACTGTGACACGCTGCCACAGACCCAGATTTCACAAATGTAATTATGATAATGTTTTGACCAATGTTTCTTATAAGATATTGATTATTAAACCCCTTCTAATGTCAGTACTGACCTGCGAGGCTGGTCTTGCACATGGATGGTGGGTTGCTGCCTGAGGATCGCGTCCTGTAGGCAGATACCACCAGAAAGTCAGCATGTAAAAGACATCATGTGTTATGGTGAGATAGTAGAAGCTTCCTTAAGCAGCCAAAGACATTTCATGCAAACCTACTTGCTGGCTGTACGATCTTGCTGGCCGGTTATGATAGCAAAGTTACTTCGAACTGTCCTCAGGCTGGCGAGGACCTGGCAAAGACAGAAACATAAGAGTGAACGTATGAGTTGATACCTTTTTGTTATAATGAAACTATCAATGTCACTCAAGTTATAGCCTTAAATACTGCACTTAATTCAGCTTCAGCTAAATCAAGCGCTTCTCAGTATGGACTGCTGATGAAAGCAGATACTGTGGCTAGAAGCTGATGCTCCCTTTCAGATGTTTTGATGGCATCCCTGACAATCCACTGTCATGTCTGTCACTCCATCTGTAGCCAAACACTGACTCAGCACAAAGAGGATCTCACACAGTATCCGGTGTTTTAGACCTGACACATGTACAAGCCTCATTAGCCAGCATGCAAATTTAAACAGCATGATCTAGCAGTATTGGATTTGCCTCGTCTTTCTCTGTGTAAAGTGAGAACAAGTGTGACGCACATCCCATGCAAGAACCAGGCAACACCGGTGGGACACCTGATCCAGTTGCAGGGCCACCATGATGCTGAGGGGCTGTTCTGGTGGAGCAACAAAACCCAGTCTCATATTATCTGGAGTTTATTGGCACTTCTTAAAGACCTGCTGTCTTTAGCCAACATGTGAATGTGCTTTCTTTTTATATGACCATCTGGTAAATTTTAAAGCAGCTTCCAAAGGTTAGATGGAAAGGTTTCAGTGTACTCACTTGTGCAAATGGTGTGACAATCATGTCTTCTGTATGTCTGCAACACAGAACAGAATACATAGAGGGAAGGAGATCAAACAAAGACATGAAACATTGAATAGAGGACCAGTCTATTAGCTCCTATTTTAACCATTTACTCATGTTAAATTAAAAGGGTAAACAACTTTTAAACAACAAATCTCATGCACTGCGTATAATAATATTGGTGAGGAAATAGACTGGGGTTGGTGGAAGGGTGAGTGATATAAGTATGAACTGTTAAAAACTCCCAAGTAAATAAAACCACAGAGTGTGTCATTGTACTTGGTTGGCTGAGATTAAGCATCGCATGCAGACAAAACAGAACTGCGTGTTTCAGGGCGAGGTCAAATGGGGGGGTTCACAGGTGAGGTGTTTGATATTTAGTCATGTTTGTCAAGATGGAGGTGGAAAAATTGGCCATGAAGCCATCGAGAGGGAATACAGGAGAGGAGAGGGCGTCAAGGGCGCAGTGTTCTTTCGTATTTCTGTTTTGTCATGTTCTTCCTCACCGAGACGACAACCAGTTGACCTCCCAGTGCTTCAAGCTTTCTTCCCTTCAAAAACAGATAGGCAAGAGTCGATGAAGAAACCTGGGACTGCTTACTTTACTAACTTAAAGATGTTTAGGCATTATGAAATGGTGGTGGTGGCTGGCTTGGGGACACAGACAGCAAAAAAAAAGAGAGAAACAGACAAAAAAGCACCCATATTGGACTTTGAGTTCATAAATTTTAAAGATCCGGACAAAAGATGTATCCAGACTTGCTCAGAGCAGACACTTCTTATCAGCCCTCTCAGCAAATGCATGCAAATGTGCAAAATAGCAACTGAACCAACTAAACTTTGGGGGGGTCTTTCTAACCATTCAAAGAAAATGCAAAAAAGACTAGGTTTAAATGGTTGTGGAGACCACAAATGTTTGATGCAACCTGTAAGAGACCCAACTCTTAAACCAGTGCGCAATATAAATCCTCTAATGTGGAACCCTCTCAGCAAAAGACAGACAGACAAGCAGAGAAAAACATAAACAGACATGTCTTTTTTTGTTAAAGGGCATTTAACAGACAATAAATATGTGGAATCTTACACCAGTTTCCCAGTATTAGGGCCAAAGTCTTGGCACTGAGATGACTTATGAATATAACATACTGTATATATTTAGATTCAAGACTGGATGTATACAGAATGCTTCTTCATTTTCTGGATGACCTAAAGTGCAGCCCATAAGACACTGATGATCTTGATTTCGAGGCTTTAAGACAATAAAAGGAACATTCCAGTTCACAGTAGCATCACCAAGGTCATGATAAGTCAAAGAAACATATTTCATTTACAACCTATTCTCATTGACACACAACAAACATAAAACATAGCATGCACTGATGCCTCTTTACAAACATTTACATTCCCAGTATCTGTTTTTGGAACAACTTACAGCTCACTGGCAGTAGAGGAGTTTCTGGAAGGACCTTTGGGTGAAAGGTCAAAGTCAGAGTCGGAGCGGTAGAGGAAAGATTCCCGCCGTTGGCTGTGAGGAAAGTTGGCCTGTAAAACCAGACCAGAGCCAGGACTGGCATGGGAGTCCAGGGGGCTGCGCCTCATTGTCAATCCATTCTCCACATCAAAACTGTCGAGAAAGACAAGAGAGAGAGAGAGAGAGGAGAAGAATTGACCAAAGTTAGACAACAAATTTTACAGATACAAAACCCTAAACATACAGATTTATGCTACAGCATGGAAAGAACATGAAAGAAGCTTCCATCCATTCATCCCTGATCTTTGTTTCTGAGTTGCCTCATGCTCTTAAAACGAGTCTGAACATATTTTCCTGCAGATGGTGTGCTGAGAGTGTTCAACAGAGAGCATGATGTCCTATATGAATCTGTGCTATCTGACAAATACAGTTCATTACCTGGTGTCAGACAGGAACAAGTGCACACTGACTGACTGGTCACTACAATTTCAGTTGCTACTGTTGTGTCCTCTTGAGCAAATTAGTTTCATTGAGTACTGCAGGCAACATCAATGTGATAGTGAGACAAATACATGGCTCAATGAGGACCGATCCATACACTAGAGCTTTCATTTGGAGAAGAAAATGTTGTGTGACAGCCATATACTGTCCGACACACTAAAGGCTCATGACAAAGGTGGCCGTAACAGTAGAAATCCCAGTCTTTAATCCAGTTACGAGACTGGTAACAATGAAAGGGAGAAAAAGAATCTAAAATACAATGCTCCACATCTAAAAATGTTCCAGTCTTTCATCACTGGGTGACAACATTCAGCTGTTTCTTTTTCTTGAACAGGAAATTGTGTAATTGAAAAGGAAATGCATTATAAACCAGTAAAGGCCACAATGAGAGCTAAAAATGGGCAAATTTAGCAGATCGACAGGAAGGATATTGTAGTGAGAAATATGTGGGAATGAGATTATCAAATAAGATCTGCTATATCGCACAAAGCAGACTAAAATAAGCACGTTATTTAAAGTTGTCTACATAACAAGGGGACGCCCCAGTAGCCTAATAGTTAAGGTGTGGCGCACAGTATGTGCATGATGTTGGTGGTTCGAGTCTGGCCGTCAACCCTTGTCGCAGGTCTCCTTCTCTGTCTCCCTTGTTTTCTGTCTGCCTCTCCACGACCAGCTTAGATAAACAAGTAAATAAAAGCAAAATATAATTTTGAGAAAGTCGTCTAATAATGGATGATAAGAAAAAGCATAAAATTTAATCAATTAAATTTATGTCATGTCACAGTGCACGTGTGTGTGTGAGAACATCCGGAGGAGGTGTGCGTGTGTGTGGGTGGTGAAGAACTGTGGGTAAACTGCGGGTGCAAAATTATCATTTGTGTAATGACGTGGGGTCACATGAGTGTGAGTCTAAAAACAGCACTCAGCGTTCAGGTGGAGAGCTCCCCCTGATTGAACACGTCTTTGCTATGAAGAAAAGCATCAAATAAAGATACAGCGAGACCCTTCTTCACAGTCTGAGCATGTCTCTGCTTTGCCTCTGACACGCAAACTCAAAAAGGCCACAGCCTGGCAACACAACAGGCGGAGGAACTCCAGAGTAGAAATACACGCTTTAGCAAAACAACAATTAGCACAACATGCTAAGATGCATACTTTTCAAATCAATACAGCAGGGAAAAGAAACGTCAAAAATAAACATATGTGAAACCCAGAGCAAACAGAACCTGGAGACCCAGGTGAAGAAATGTTAGCTGGAGATGTCTGTCGATGTAAGTGTGGGAAAATAACACAACACAATAAAAAACAAAATGGTAAAAACTGATAATTGCAGCCTTAATAGCATTAATGATACAATTTGACTGCAGTGGCAAAGACAAGCTGCAGCTTTCTACTATACTCTAATATGCACCAACTGCAACATATAAACATCCCATTCATTCCTGTATCCACTCCTTCCTCCAGTGCACCACCACCATCCTCCCACTCCATCTCCCCATCCTCCACCCTGCTATCCTCCTAGGATGCTGCATGAGGACAAGACATTGGTGTGTTACTATTACATAACACTCAATGACCAGAAGTCCCCGTGCCTCCATTCATGTGACAGATTCAGATAAACTGACTGCACAATACATAGCCAAGGAGCAGAGTCGGGGGGCAGGAAGGGGAGACAGTGGGGTGAGAGGTAAAACACGACAAAGAGACAGTAGTGAGAAAACTTTCAAAGAGGAAGCGAGCACAGACAGCTCTATGACACATACAGTACGTGAAGGTGTTTTGGCCTTAACTGCACACTCACTGTGTGGCCGGGAATATGCAGCATGTGTGTATTACAGGTGTGAATCACTCACAGTTTTGACTGAAAATTGGGGAATTTACATGTGTAAATGATGCATCACAGTAGTGTATTGTGCCACCTTACACAGAGATGATGTGGATAGTTCTGACCTGTAAGCACACACACCATCCTTGTTCAGTTTCTATGAGAACAGATGCAGATTGGAACTTCACCCTCATCTCCCTCTTTATCATTCCTGATTTCTCCATCTATCTAATTGTGTACTCCCTAATGATACTGCGCCCCTGGCAGTTCCTGATTATAAATGTGTTTCTATTTTTGGTTCTGCACCATGCTTCTGTCACTGTTCAGCTATATTTAGCCTCCTGATGCGTGAGGACTAGACCGAGAGAGGCAGTAACGCAGCTAAAAATAGGCTTGCAGGTAGAGAACAGAGTCCTCCCTCTCCCCTTCCCTCTCCCTCTTCAGCACAGAGCGGCAGATTCTTTCCTCCAGTCATGAATATTTATGGGAATGTTTCTATTTGAAGTCAACACTGGGTTAAAATTAGACCTCAGAGCAAAAATATCACCCACATCTTTCCCTCTCACTTCCAGAAATCCAGTTCTTCAAACGTAGGGTCCTGACTTAGTCATGACACAGGATTATTCACCTTTTTTATTCACACTCGAGACACGACAGTATTGTGCTTTTACATCACAATTCCCAACAGTAAAAACCCAGTATGGTTTGTATGAATTATGAACAGAAGCTTCAATACATAGTAGCACAAACACCATGAGTAGCTGTTGCCACGGTAACAACTAACGGGAATCCACATCAACACATACTATCTTTGTAAAAATGAGTGTGCTTTTGTTGAGACCGTCAGGGAGGTGTTAATTCAATTTTAAGTCAATTTTTTGTTGGTGGTGTGCTTACAATATATACAATATATTTGTATATTCCTACTGCATGTATCCACTACACCTAATCACACAAGTGTTAGCATCATCATTCTTTCTTTTACATCATGAAAATTTACATGTAAATTAAAAGACTATTGTTGCTCAGTTAAAACTGTTTTGATATGGACAAAAAATACTGTTGGATGCAAACCTAGCAGGTGGGAATGTTTGCAAAATCTAACCAAAAGACTGCCACTACATATGTCAATTGAGAGGTCATGTGTTTTTAAAGGGTCAAAGGTCAGTATTCAGGTTTAGCATGCACATCATCTGGACAGGACGCTCCCACAGAAGTTGGGACGATGTTGTCTTCCAAACCCCAGCCAGTTACCCCCCCCCCCCCCCCCCCCTCCATTTCTCAGCCTAAAATGGCAAAAATAAAAAGAGTGGGACTTTTTAAAAATAGTCTTGTTTAGTGGGAAGGTGTTGTTGAATAATCTGCCAGAGGAAGGTGTTGGTGAGTGATGCCTGATGTGTGTGTTAGGTGCTGTCTGGAAATTCTATTCAGTCACCCTGAGAAGAGGGTCCCTCTACTGGGCTTGGGTGAGACTACAGGAGCTGGATAACCTGGATATCCCACTACTACAAGTGAAAATATACTGCAGAGCTCATATAATTGGTAGAGCAGATAAAATTAATCAGCAACAATTTAGACAGTTGTTTTCAACAGGAAGAAAATTTTCATTGGTCTTTCGTCGTCCTAACACTGCAAAATGCTTTCCTGCTTTAAAAAATGCACAATAACGAAAATATTTGTATTATTACAGGTGTTTTACTTTTGGGCTTGGCACTTTGAAGACATCACCCTGGGTTGTGGGAACTTCAGTGTGATGCAGATTTAAATCTATTCTCTGTTCTCAGTTTATGAGGTACACTAAGCCAAAACTAAGTCAGTCTAATCCTAATAAATCCTCCTTCATGAGGTTGATAACGTTTGGTTTTTGCTGAATTTATTTTAGAGTGGCATTGATTCAACTATATGATCATTCTGGAAGCATTAGTGGATGGTATTGTTGTTACAGTACTGACAGGCTAAATACTAGAAACACATCTCTGCCATAATAATAAAGTGTGAATACAGCAGACTGATCAATGAAAACTGTTAGCTGCATGTGATATAGTGTCCTAGGCAATATATACAGCAAGAGCATAGGTATAGCTCTGATATCAATATGTATATATCACAATATGGCAAATTTACACAAAAATCACACACAAAACCATCATCGGTTAATTTGCTGATTAATTTCTGGACTCGCTGTCTAATTGTTGCATCCCAGAATGTCAGAAAAATGCTATTAAACATTGCCAGACCCAGAAGGTGTTTTCAAAAGCTCGTATTATCTGAAAAACACTTCACATCCAAAGATACTCAGTGTATTATGTGTGCCAAAAAAACTTGATTTAAAACTAAAATGCAACCTAAAAATTATTGAAACAGTTAATCTGTTAGTTGCTGATCAGTATTACATTAAAAACACATGTGTAATACAAAAACCAATTTAGTTCATTTTTTATAACACTTTATTTGTAATGATTAATTTAAACATCAGAACATTTTAAAATCATAATGTAATGTGACACAGTTGTCAACTTACAAAGAGTCAGTAGATAGTGAATTATCACTAAGCCCTGTAACTAAGATGGATATAAAGACGTTTCCATGTGCAAGGAATTGACAAGCAAGCTGAAACACATGTAGCTTATTTAGGATTGTGTGTGGTTAATTTGGCCTCTACAGTCACACACTGGGCTTCGTTCAAATCTGCCTCACAGACACCTGCACATGCACAGAGAGAGGTACACACACACACACACACACACACCTGATTACTTTCTATAGTCTGAACACCAACCTGGAGCCAACACTCCTGGGCATCTTAAAGTCTTTTAGTAAAGAACAT